AATTTAATTTAATTCCATATTTTGCCCTTGACTGTGCGATTTAATTTTGTTTAAGTTTCACACTTCAAGAGCAAAATAATTTGGTATTTCGCACTATTAAGACACAGTGTGTAATACTGAATTTAGTTTTGCACAATAAGATATTTTGCCCCGGAATTTTGCCCTTCAGAATTAAGCACCCAAAAAGGGCAAAAATTTTCACACAATAAAATTTAATTTAATTTAGTATGCCAACCCTGCGATAGACGAACGTATTTGTAACGATATTTATCGTCACTGCTTTACAATAGCACTGTTAAACTGAATTGTCATGTGACGAAAAATATCGTGACGAATAGTTTGTCACAAGGGTTGAGATGAACCAATCGTCACATTGTGACGAACCATTCGTCACTTGTGATGACCTATTCATCAACCGAGATAAGTGATAAGCTTTGACGATTGGGTTGTCACGTGACGAAACAACCATCTCACCCCTTGTGACGAACCATTCATGAGTAAAATTAAGCAGTGACTTTTTCGTAAAGTGACAACTTAAAGTTTTACAGTGAGATCTTACGCTCTGTCTTTATTCAGATCCAGATCGCCAACAGGCCTTGGCCGGGACGCCTCTCCATCTCGCTGCAGTGTCTGGCCGCGCCGAGGTGGTGGCCGTGCTGCTCAGAGACCCCCGCGACCTGGATGCAATGCACAGGGGGTTGACACCCCTGCACTTCGCTGCCCGTTACGGCCACGACCAGGTGGTGCGTATGCTCCTTGCGGCCGGCGCGCGCTGCCAGGCCGACGCTGACGTTCTCACACCTCTGGACGCTGCTGCGCGCTCTGGCAGCGCCCCCACGGTGCGGCTGCTGCTCGGCGCCGCCCCGCCGCCCGCTGCCGAGGTCTGCTGGAGGGCCGCTTGGGAGACCGCTGGGCATGCCCACGAGGAGGCCTGCTCCGCGCTGCTGGACGAGCTCGAGGCGCGCGGGCTGCTGCAGTGGGGCCCGGAGGCGAGGGAGGTCCTGTACGAGGCGGGCTGCGGAGGGAGCAGCGCCATCGCGCTGAGGCTGCTGGGCCTCCCTACTGCCGCCCTGGGCGAGCGCCTGCACGACAACGGGGAAACAGTCCTACACGCCGCTGCCGCTAATGGCCGCGCTGAGCTCGTGCGCGCGCTCCTCAGCCGCGGGGCGGACCCGCTGGGCGAGGATGCTGAGGGCAGCACCGCACTGGACCTGGCAGCACTGGGTGGCTCCACGGACACCATCACCGCGCTAGTGGAGCACATCCCGGGCGGCTCCCTACAGGCGGCCCTCGGGGAGGCGCTGCGTGTGGCCGCACGGTACGGTCAGCTCGGGGCGGCGCAACGGCTCGTCCACCACGGTGCGGTCGTTAACGCGAAGGACGGGGAGAGGTGGACGCCCCTGGGCTGTGCCCCTGAAGGGGGCGCGACCGAGGTGGTGCGTTGGCTGCTGCAGCAGGGGGCCGACCCGAGCCTGGGCGAGCGCCTTCCTCTGCACCTGGCTGCATTGTACGGGCGGCTGAGCGTGGTCAAGCTACTCGTGCCGCCGCTGCACGCGGGGGACCAGGCCCAGGACCCCCCCGGCGGCGAGGAGCCCTCAGCCCTGAGCGTGGCCGTGCAGGCAGGCTCGCGAGAGGACCTGCAGCGAATCTTGGGGCAGTTTGTGGAGCACCTCAGGCCCCTTTCCAGCAGGTACACGAGGGAGGACAGGCTCCGGGACAAGGCCGAGGCGACGGCGGCGCTGAGGAGGAAGGAGAAGGGGGAGGGCGAGCGCCTGCGCCTGCTGCAGCAGGTCGACAGTGGTGGCCTCACGGCCCTGCACACTGCGGCAGCAGTGAGCGCGCTCCCCGTCGTGGAGTACCTGCTGGAGCGGGAAGGGGAGCTCCTGCAGCGGATCTACTCCAAGCACAAGAACACCGGCGTGCCGCGGCTGGACGGCCTCACGGTGTACGCCCGACGAGCTGACGGGCACACCGCCCTGCAGTGCGGCGCTCTGATGCTCTGCGCGCCGAGCGTGGCCGAGGCGCTGCTCAGGCGGATGGGGGACGAGATGTGGCTGGCCCTGGGCCACAGGGACCTGCAGGAGGTGCGCGGCATGGCCGTGGAGGCCCTCTGGCTCGCCGGGCTCGCCGCTTATCACCTCAGAGGCGGCGGCCGCCTGGTCCGCGCGCTCTGTGAGGGGCTGCTGGGCGAGAAGAACGAGAACAGACTGCAGGACATCCGAAGCGGAGCCGTGGCGGCGCTGTGCTCCGGGCAGCACGTGTGGCACGCAGTGGTGGACCTGGTCAGGTGGCACCTGGAGGCGCTGCCGCTGAACCTGCCGGACCTGCGGCTGTGTGCCCTACGAGCCATGCGCCGCTGCCTGCAGCTGGGCCCGCGCGGGGAGAAGGCGCTGCAGCTGCTGAGCCTGTGGGTGCGCGACCTGCGCGACCTGCGCGAGGGCGCCGTGCACAAGACGCACGAGAGAGTGGCGTGGAGGATAGCCGCCGAGGCACTGAGAATCGCTGTCGAGAGGCGGGACCAGGACTCGTTCCAAGTCATCCGTCGCCTCCTGTGGAGGGCTAAACATTTTACCTTATGGATAGTCATCTCCCTCGCGCTCGCGGTCTCCCCAGCGGCGGTGTTCATGATGTGGGTGTTGAGTCTCTTGTCGTGAAACGCGACGCGCACGCGGCCGGACTCGGCGGTTGTGGTGGAGCGACTCAAAGCTTATAGGGAGTGTGGCGCGAGATTCAAAACATTTGATTCAACCATCTAATGTCGTTCATGTCACATTTAAATTGCCTGATCGAAATGAGTGGGTTGTTGGGGCCAAAAGAGACCTGATTATCGGATCGCGTTGGAGTTGAAGTAGACACCTGCACGCACGTTTGTAAAAATAAATAAAAACCAGGGAGATGACAAGGGACTGCCACCGGGCTTGGTCCGGACGGAAAACGGACGGAAAGTCTTCCCCCACAGCCTAATATTATAGCAAGACAGATCTTTATCAACGTCAATCGGCTTATCAAAACTGGAACTGGAACGTCAATCGGCTATCTTTATCAAAACTGGATAACGAGAACCGGCAATAATTATCAAAACGGGAAATTTTTACCTTCGGGTAGAGACAGACCACAAGGGACTGTCTAAAAAGAATTATTCTATTCCAGTCTATTATATTACTGTATTTACACTCGTAGGGAAAGGGGGGGGGCGTCGCGGGGGCTCCAGCGGTGCGAGGGAGGGGGAAGACTAGCGTAGACTGGCGTGGCCGACGGCTCGGGGCCGGGGCTCGGGCTCCGCTCGGCTCCGCTCAGCTCGGTTCCGCCCGGCTCGGCTAGCGCATAGCGCGCTCGACGCGACGCGACGGC